GCACTGTAATGACCCCCTGTTGCACAGTTCCAGAATTGGGTTTTGCCACATGAGCAAAAACAGGAATTGGCTATATACTGTTTCAGCTTCAAGAGGCTTTCAGGTTTTGAGCCTGATTCAATTTCTTTGTTACCCAGGACTTGACAAGTAGCACCACACACACCCCCAGCAAGGCTGTCACCCAGCTGCAGGCTGTGTACGATGGGCCTTGTGACAGGCTGGAAACGTAAAACCACAGTGGGAGGAAGGAGGATGTATGGCAGTTCTAAGTCACGGAAATTACTGTTTTCTCTCCCTGGGCCCTGTTGGGGTGTGTCTGCCCTTATTCCTGTTTCCTGCATTCACCCCTTAGGAACCAGCGCCCAGGAGCACAGTTGGACTGCTAGGGCAAACGGCAAGGAGAATTTAACCCCTACAATTGACAGTGGTGGTCGTCACGTGCCACCCGAGAGAAGGCTGCCGTGAGGTCCTTGCCATAGGCAGGGCCATCGAAACATCGTGGTGCAGTGGGTCTGGCAGTGCCAGAGCTCTGTGAAGTGATGAGCCAGTGATGGCAAAAAAATGAACAAAAGTGTAGCCAGCATTTGTGAGGGTTTTCTTCCAGATCAGCTGTTTTGAAATAGCTTTCTCTACAATTTGATAATTTTTATAAAATCAGACTTTATACAGTATTTTGCTCATTGGGTTACCAAGGGGAACTGACTAGAGTCCTTCTATGCAGTTGTCTATGAAGATGTGTGGCACAATGCCAGGCTCTAGAAGAGACTTAGGACATAAATAGCATGTGCAGGATGCTTTACGTCACTGAGCAGCTCCCTGTTGGTCCTAAGTAAATAAGCTACGAGAAAGTGAATATCAGTTCCAAACAGGCATAATTGCTGGTTCTTGGTGACTCTGTGTTAAAGCAGTTAGCAAAAGGCCATGCATTCATATACTGTGATAGTGTGATGAGAACGTGTGTTACATAATTTCTCTGTATTCTGAATGGTTAAAGAACAACTAAAAAGGAAAAAGATATGCTTTAAAAAACACATTGAGAAATGACTATCTTACATGAGAATATTATCTGAAGCAGACTATATAAAGCCACCTTTTCTCTCCTTGACTTTAATCCACCCAAGAAAACAGCAAGTGATACATTTCTTCCTCCTCATTTACTTGCATGTTTATTTTAATAACTTCATTGAGTTGTAATTTAACTCCAATAAGTTCATTTATTTTAGGTGAGTAGGCTGATTAATTTAAGAAATTATACACAGTGATGTAAACACCTGCATAATCAAGATAAATAGCACATTTCTGCACCTTTAAAACTTCCATCATGCTCCTTTGCAGTTGATCCCTTCCCCTAATCCCTGGCCCTGGGCGACCTTGGATCTCCTTTCTGAAATTATAGCTTTGACTTTTTTTTTTATTATTTTATTTTTGGCTTTGACTTTTTTAATTTTTTGAGTTGGAGTCTCGCTTTGTCACCAGGCTGGAGTGCTGTGGCGCGATCTCCGCTCACTGCAACCTCCGACTCCCTGGTTTAAGCGATTCTCCAACCTCAGCCTCTTGAGTAGCTGGAATTACAGGACGCACCACCACACCCAGCTGAATTTGTATTTTTAGTAGTGATGGGGTTTCACCATGTTGGCTGGGATGGTCTCAATCCCTTGACCTAGTGATCTGCCTGCCTCGGCCTCCCAAAGTGCTGAGATTACAGGCGTGAGCCACTGTGCCCGGCCAGCTTTGACTTTTAAAAAATTTTATATAAATGGAATCATACTCTGTGTAATCTCCTGTGTGTCTTTTTTCACTTAATGTAACCTTTTGGAGCCTTATCTACAGTATATTGTTTGGTGTTTTCACGTTAAATTCCTTTTACTGCTGAGTAGTATTCAGTAAGTATGGATCTATTAAGTAAGAGAATGTAAGCATACGCGTGTGTGCGTGTAAGTAAGGTGGTTCATGTGAGCACGTCCTCTCCTCACCCCTCCACTTACTGACTGCTCAGATGAATTCAGATGTCTCTTCACAACAAGCATGTGCCTCTTAACCTTTTGACAGTTTAACTATAAAAATTGGACTGTTCCTTTATTTCTTTTGCAAATCAGGGTTATACTTAAAACTTTAAATATTACTTGTATTAGGAAATTTGATTATGGCATGCCTTGGTAGTGTTTTTCTTCCTGATTCTTGTGCTTGAAGTTTGTTGAGTTTCTTTTATCTGTGGATTGATAGTTTTCATCAAATTTAGAAAAGTTTTTGGTCATTATTTCTTCACATACATTTATTCCATCTCCTCCCCTTCTCCTCCTTCAGTGACCGGCCCATTGGTCCAACCGTCCATCCTTCCATTGTTTCTTTTATCAGTTGTCTGTTTCATTTTAGGTCGTTTCTATTGCAGGCTCATCAGATTCACTAGTCTTTCCTTCTGCAATGTCTAGTCTGGTCTCATTCCCATTTAGCATGTTTTTCATCATGGGCATTGTAGTTTTATCCTTGGAAATTTGATTTAAATCTTTTTTTTAAAAAAAATCTTCCATGTGTCTAAGATGTTCATTCTTTATTCTGTCTTCTAGAACATCAGGAATACAGTTATAACTTTTAGAGTCCCTGTCTGCTAATTTTATTACTCGTTGTTTCTGACCTGCTTCTGTTGATTGATTTTTCTCCTTATTATGACTTGTACTTTCCACTTCTTGCATGCCTGCTCATTTTTAAAATTGGGTACCAGATATTGTGAATTTTACCTATTTGTGTGCTGGATTTTTTTTTTTTTTGTATTGCTATAAATATTCTTGAGCTTTGTTCTCCAGTGTGTTAAATGACTCAGAAACAGTTTGATCCTTTTGAAGTTTGCTTTTAAGCTTTGCTCGGTGGGATGAGAGCAGACTTTAGGGGTAAGGTCGGCAGCCTTTCTGAGTACTCTTTCTGATGCCCTGTGAATTATGGGGTTTTCTGCTCCGACTGGTGAGACTAGGCACTGTTCCTGGTCCTGTGTGAGGCTCAGGGCTTGTTTCCTTTGCTTCTCTCAGGTGGTTCTCTCCCTGTTCTCAGATAGCTTTCTTACATGGAAGCCCCAATCAGTACTCAGTTGAAGACTTGGGGGACCATCTAAGATCTCTGCGACACCCCCTCTGTGCAGCTGTCTTCTCTCTAGTACTCTGCTCTATGAGCTGTAACTGCCCTGAGACTCCCCACTCCATCTTCTCAGCTCAGAGAGATGCTGGGCTCCTCCTGGGTGCCCCCTTCCTGCACCCCGGCTTGGAAACTCTCTCCAGGCAGTAAGGTGGGCTTACCTCACTGGCTTTCCCTCGCTCAGGACCATTGTTCTGCGCTGCCTGATAGCCAACGTCTGAAAACCATGGTTTCCTTTTTAAATGTTTTTCAGTTCTTTAGTTTTCACCGGGGAGGGTAAATCTAGTCCTTGTTACACCATCTTCACTGGAAGCAGAAATCTCTACCTACTTGTTAAAACTTTTAATAAAATACTTTTAGCACACAGGCAAGTTATATTGATTATTCTGATAGCCATGACTCATTTTTATAGTTTTGTCATATTTCTACTGCATTTTTAAAAACAGAAGATTACTAAAATCCTCTCTTTCCCTCTCTCTCTCTCTCTTTTTTTTTTTTTTGGTGACAGTGTCTTACTCTGTTGCCCAGGCTGGAGTGCAGTGGTGTGATCTCGGCACACTGCAACCTCCACCTCCCAGGTTCAAGTGATTCTCATGCCTCAGCCTCTTCAGTAGCCGGAACTACAGGCATGCGCCACCACACCTGGCTAATTTTTGTATTTTTAGTAGAGATGGGGTTTCGCCATGTTGGCCAGGCTGGTCTCAAACTCCTGACCTCAAGTGATCCACCTGTCTTGGCCTCCCAAAGTGCTGGGCTTACAGGTGTGAACTACTGTGCCAGGCCAGATCCTCTCTTCTTGATCCTATTCTTCTTTCCCTTTACAGAGGTTGCCAATATTCTGTATTTGATAATTGTAATTTGTGCGTGGATTTAAAAAAATGGTTTTACTACATATATATGTATCCATAGTCTCTATTATTAGTATTATCTGAAGATATAAAACAGCATCATGCTGTACCTATAATTCTTCATTTTCTTTTCCATTCAGTGTTTAAAAAATGTTTATCCCTATGATACATGTGGCTTTGGCTGAAATATACATTCCACAAGAACAAGAATCTTGCTGTGTTTTGTTCACTGGGATATTCCAAGTATCTAGAATAGTGCCTGGTACGTTGTAGGCTCAGTCAGTATTTGCTGGATGAATGAATTCATTTTAACTGGTGTATAGTACTGGTGAATGTGTCACAGTTTTATTCTCCTGTTCATGAATGTTTAGGCTGTTGTACCTTTTCATTTTTTTCTAATACAGACAGTGCTACAGGGAATGTTCTTGCTTGTGTCTCCTTGTGCACATACGTAAGAATTCTTTTAGGAAATACTGGGTGTTAGGGGCAGGCACCTCTTCAACTTAACAGTATCTTGCTGAGTTCCTCTGCCATGGTAATAATATCAATTTATACTCCCACCAGCAGTGTATAAGAATCCTCATTTCAGCCAGGCGTGGTGGCTCATGCCTGTAATCCCAGCACTTTGGGAGGCTGAGGTGGGTGGATCACCTGAGGTCAAGAGTTTGAGACCAGCCTGGCCAACATGGTGAAACCTCGTCTCTACTAAAAATAAAAAATAAAAAAATTAGCTGGGTGCAGTGCCACGTGCCTGTAGTCCCGCCTACTCGGGGAGGCTGAGGCAGGAGAATTGCTTGAATCTAGGAGGCAGAGGTTGTAGTGAGCCAAGATTGCATCACTGCACTCCAGTCTGGCAACGGAGGGAGATTCCATCTCAAAAAAAAAAAGAAAGAAAAAATTCCCATTTCTTCACATCCTCACCAACATTTGATATCATCAGATATTTTAATTTTTGCCAATCCTATATACATGAGATTACATTTTGCTTGACTTTTGTTTTTATTAATAACACATCGTTTTTCCCAATAGAAATTCAATGTCTTCTTTCCGTCCTGGGAGGGGCCATAATGATAGTCGGAGGACTGTGTTTTATACCAATGAAGAGTGGGAACTTTTAGACCCAACCCCTAAGGACCTAGAGGAGTCCGTAGCGCAGGAGGAAAAGAAGAAGCCGACCCCTGAAGGAAACAAAGGTATCAGCGCGCTTCCTGTTGTCTGTCATTCTCCGTACTGCCGTCTGTTCACCAGTGATATGGGAGACACTTTATTAGCAGGTATTTTGAGAGTCATAAGGCCCAGTGGGGCCTTGCATTCTGTGAAACTTAAAAAGGCTTGAAAAATTATTTAATAAATGTTATAAGAAATAAATGACTGTCTAATCCAATGGCTCTTAAAATTTTTGGGGAGATAGAACACTTGGAAGTCATGATCCTCTTTATGGAAATACTGATTTTAAAAAACTTGTTAGAAATTTGAAATGTACACTAAAGAAGAGAATATAGTCTCATGAATTCTGGTGTACTCGTTATCCAGCTTCCACAATGTGAACTGTGGTCTCTCTTCTTCCCTCTCCATCTCTCTTTTTTTTTTTTTTTTTTTGAGACGGAGTTTCGCTCTTGTTACCCAGGCTGGAGTGCAATGGCGCGATCTCGGCTCACCGCAACCTCCGCTTCGCGGGTTCAGGCAATTCTCCTGCCTCAGCCTCCTGAGTAGCTGGGATTACAGGCACGCACCACCATGCCCAGCTGATTTTTTGTAATTTTAGTAGAGACGGGGTTTCACCATGTTGACCAGGATGGTCTCGATCTCTTGACCTCGTGATCCACCCGCCTCGGTCTCCCAAAGTGCTGGGATTACAGGCTTGAGCCACCGCGCCCGGCCTTCCCCTCTCCATCTCTTAAATTCCTGCTACTCCCTGCCCCCACTATCAGCTGGATTATTTTAAATTTTAAACATTGATCCATTGCATCTGCAAATGCTTTAGTATGTATCTCTAAGACATAATGACTCTTTTAAAAAAAATTAGAACCACAACTTATTTATTATATTTATAGTTATAATAAATCCTTAATGTTATTTAATTCCTTCATTGTTCCCTACATGTCTGCTTACAGTTGGTTTCTTCAAGTGAGGACCCAAACAAGACCCACACATTATATTTAATTGATGTCTTCTTAGGTCTCTTTTGGTGGCTTTTTTCCCTTCCCACATTTGTTGAAGAAACCAGGTCTTCATGCTGAGGAGTCTCCCACATCTGGGTTTGCTGATTGTATTTCTGTGGGGTCATTTAACATGCTTTCCTGTATACTGGCAGTCAGAGCCGAGGCCTGCCCAGATTCAGGGTTGACTTCTGGTTGGACAGGAATGGCGTTTTGGTGGGGAGGTGCTGCGTGCTTCCTATTGCATGGCATCTGAAGCCACATTGTGTCTGGTTTCTCTCTTATCATATTAAGATGATCAAGGCTTAGGGTTGTCAATTCTGATCCATTCATAACCTTCTCCATCAGCCTTTTACCAGATGCTTTTAACAGTCATTTATGATCCTAGATTTATTTATTTATTTATTTTTGAGACGGAGTCTTGCTCTGTCACCCAGGCTGCAGTGCAGTGGCGCAGTCTCAGCTCACTGCAACTTCTGCCTCCCGGGTTCAAGTGATTCTCCTGCCTCAGCCTCCTGAGTAGCTGGGATTACAGGCACGTGGCACCATGCCCAGCTAATTTTTGTATTTTTAGGAAAGATAGGGTTTCACCATGTTTCCCAGGCTGGTCTTAAACTCTTGACTTCAGGTGATCCACCCACCTCGGTCTCCCAAAGTACTTGGATTACAGGAATGAGCCTCTGTGCCCGTCCACAATCGTAGATTAATTCATTAAGAGAATATTGATGTTTTAAACATGAAATAATAAATAATTTTGAAATTCCACCTTATACCTAGTTCTCACAAAAATGGGAAGCCAAGGGTGCTTAGTATGTCTTCGTTTTCCATTAAAAGTGATCCTGCGATAGAGTCTTCCAAGGAAGGAGCCAGTGGGGGGAATGAGTCATCTTTGGCTGAAGCATGTTGGTTACTATCTAGAATGTGGTGGGGGCAGAGTCATCAGTCTCCTCGGGTTCTCAAGGTGGGGAATGCCAAACTCCTTTGAGGATGATTTGTGAAGGTGCTTTATTTTGTTATAGTTTCCAAAAGGAAGATGTGGCTTGTATTTAAAACACAAGTTTTCTTTTTGTGTAGGAGTAGCTGGCTCAGGGTTCCCCTTTGATTTTGGACGTAACCCTTACAAAGGAAAGCGCCCTCTGAAAGACATAATTGGGTCGTACAGAAATCGTCACAGCAGTGGTGATCCTTCAAGTGAAGGCACACCAGGCAGTGGCAGTGGCAGCATCAGCGTCAGGAAGCCAGCCTCCGAAATGCAACTGCAGGCCCAGAGCCAGCAGGAAGAGCTGGAACGGTTAAAGAAAGACCTATCCAGTCAGAAGGTAACTTCTTCTTCTGGCTTCTGTCTTACCCCACATCAGCAGGCCAAGGGCGGGAGGAGTGAAGCCCAATCAGTGTTTCCCTGGATCTTTCCAGGGACAGCTTTGTTTCCCAAAAGTTGCTTTTCCGTGGAGGTTTCATACTGCCGGGGCCGTCATCCTAGGCGCGGTTCCTGTGCTTGATCATTGGTTCAGAGGTGTTTATATTTGTAGGAGGGTGAAGAAAGGAGGACTTGGGAGGTTGCTGTCTGCACCTCCAGCCAGTCCTGCCCCAAGATTGAATCTCCCTAAACATAGTTTCAGCCCAGATTTCTTTAACAGTCGTTAAGAAGACTTTCTGCATCAACAACAGTTTCCTGAGCTAATCAGTTCTAATTACACTTAACTGTTCAGCAGTCCAGTGACCTCTCAGAGCACAGATTTTTTAATACCCATGAACATTTACTGGACACCATTGCTAACTAATTACAGTGGGCAAGTCCATTATTTCCTGTTTCCTATTACTGTTCTCTACAGACAGTCTTTATGGAATAAATATTTTTTTTCTATTTTTGAGATCCTTCAAGAGGAAGTTCAGTATTAAAATGTTTCCAGTAAAGTTTCTACATTTCCTCAAATTCTGACAATTGCTCCATGTCATGATTTGTGCTTTTCCTCCTCTCCTCGCTCTCCTCATCGTAACTCCATTCTCCTTTCGGCTCCCAGGAGCTTGTTCGGCTGCTCCAGCAGACAGTCCGGTCATCCCAGTATGACAAGTATTTCACTAGCAGCCGGCTCTGCGAGGGGGTCCCAAAGGACACGCTTGAGCTTCTGTACCAAAAGGATGATCAGATTCTGGGCCTCACCAGCCAGCTGGAGAGGTTCAACCTGGAGAAGGAGAGTCTTCAGCAGGAAGTGAGGACGCTGAAGAGCAAAGTGGGCGAGCTCAACGAGCAGCTGGGGATGCTGATGGAGACCATCCAAGCCAAGGATGAGGTCATCATCAAGCTCAGCGAGGGCGATGGCAGCGGGCCTCTGACCATGGCACCCGGCTCCCCTTCCACCGCGCCTGTTGGCAGGGACCAGCTGGAACTGGACAGGCTGAAAGTAAGAGCAGGGCAGGGTTTCTGGTGATTGGCATGAGAGACCACCGATGTCACCCTAGAGGCCAGGCCCCTGAGCTGATTGGTGTGATGGCAGAACAGTTTCACACCCTTTTTTTTCCCCACAAGTGTAATAGGACTTACCATCAAATAATCGTTAATTTTCTGTGGAGCTTCCTTGGAAAGGAAACCCTTGCTGCTGCTTGGAGCAGTTTCAAATCTTTCCCCTCACTTGCTTTCGGGCAGCTGAGACTTTTCTTTCTGTGTATACCACCCTGAGGACTTCGTTATCCTGTGTAACATGTGGTGGCTGTTTCTTGCCCCTCCTGTGTACATGAAAGCACACACAAACTTAATTTGTATAGCTTGCTGCAGAACCTAGTGGGTGCCTGGTTTGGGGCATTGTTCCCAGCAGCTATTATAGGGTTAGCTGGGGAAGCAGACTCCAGCTTCCAAGCAGGCCTGGGAAGAGGGGGCCTCTTCAGAGTCAGTGCCCCCAACACCCAGGGTGGGAGGGTCCTGACACTTAGAAGGAAGCGTCCCTCTCTGGGATAGCCCTCAAGGTGGGAGGCTGTTTCCTGAACAGAAGTGACTCTCTGAGTCATGCCTGGCGTGGTGACCAGCTGATGCGGTGGGAGGAACACACAGCACTTGTGGGGGGGGTGCAGCCTACATTTCTCTTCTTGCTGGTAGAGAAGCCTGCTGGTCCAGAGGGGAAGTCACAGGGAGGATCATGACATTCTTGCTGCCACCAGTTCTTGAGACTCTGTTGGAGAGGTTTCAGATGGACAAGTGGCCCCCAGGACATGGGGTATCAAGTATGGCCCATTGACCCCAGCCAACCCCAGATGTGTCTGTAGCTACTGGTCTCACCCAGCCCCAAGGCGTCCCTTACCTGGCCCCCTTCTTCTTGCAAATAATGTGTCTCCAAGGGTGTTTGGCTCCAGATGGAGCTTGTCCTTGGAGGACAGAGGTTTGCTGCTGTCCAGGTTGTTACTGAGCATTTGCTTCATGCTTAGCAGTACTTTCAGGCATTGTCAATGCATTGAGTGAGAGAATGATGGGCATGCCAGGGACTCTGAAGATAGTTCCAAAACAGAAGTAAAAACACGAGTCGTGGCAGCATGGGTGGAGTAGGTACATGGTCCCCATAGCAACCACTTCTCACTGACAATACCCATTGGATATGTGAGGCCAGAGGATTTATGAATGTGAAAATCTAAAACAACAATAGAACCTCTGGTCTCAGTACTTGATGCTTAGACGCTACTGTTTAAAAAAAAAATGGCTGGCCAAGCGTGGCGGCTCATGCCTGTGATAACAGCACTTTGGGTGACCGTGGTGGGCACATTGCTTGAGCCCAGGAGTTTGAGATCAGAGTAGGCAACATGGTGAAACCCCTATCTCTACAAAAAAAAAAAAAAAAAAGCCAGGGATGGTGGCCTGTACTTATAGTCCCAGCTACTCAAGAGGCTGATTGCTTGAGCCCTGGAGAGTGGAGCAAGGCTACAGTGAGTCGAGATCCTACCACTACACTCCAGCCTGGATGACAAAGCAAGACCTCGTTGCAAGAAAAAAAAAAATACCTTTTTTTTTTAAAAAAAAAAATAAGAGGTCTTGGTTAGTGTTGCCAGTAGAAGCTGTTTTTTTTTTTTTTTAATGTATACAACATTGAATATACATGACCCTAAATATACACCCATCAATAATACACATTTTGCAATTACTTAATGAGAGCAGAAATTTTTATTTTCATGTACTTATTTATTTATTTTTTTGAGACAGGGTCTTGCTCTGTTGCCCAGACTGGAATGGAGTGGTTCAATCTCAGCTCTCTGCAGGCTTAACCTCCCCCACTCAAGAAATCCTTTAGCCTCAGCCTCCTGAGTTGCTGGGACTAGAGGCTCACGTTACCATAACTGGCTAATTTTTGTATTTTTAGCAGAGACAGAGTTTTGCTGTGTTGCCCAGACTGGTCTTGAACTCCGGAGCTCAAGTGATCCACCTGCCTTGGCTTCAGAACGCTGAGATTACAGGCTTGAGCCATCCCGCCCAGCCGGCAGCTGAAGTTCTTATTTTGCAAGTGTGTCGATTTCTGTAGTGTGTAGAACAAAACTATAGTGCTGGGTTTCCAGGGCATGCGTGGCACTCAGCAGTGGGGAGGCGTGTGGAGCAGGTTTTCCCGGGGAGTGAGCTGGGGTGGGTGTGGAGTGCCTGCTGGCTGTTGAGACTGTGCAGCTCCTTCTGGAGACAGCTAACCGAGCTGATCGGGATACAGTCAGCATAGGAGGCCTGACGCCAATCAGAACAGGACATTCCCTTCCCTTCTCCTCTTCATTTGCAGCATAATGGGTGGAGTGGTTTTGAATCTACTTGAAGTTTTGTTTCTCCAACATTCCTCAATTTAACAAGTTTAACAGTTTTTTTTTAACAACTTAACAAGCCTGTGGCTGCAAGACATCACAACTTTGAGGTTAAGTGGCGACAGCTGATGAAGCAGCTGAGGAAGCGGCAAAGCCGTGGTTGGGTGGTCTCCAGGGAGACAGTTGAGGCCGGCCTGGGTCCGTGGCCTCATGGTTTCTGACACTGCCGTGCTATTGCCAGTGCTGAGGGTCCCTCTGCGGTGCAGAAGGTGTTCACGCCTCATGCAGGGCTCCTCTGCAGTGGCACTGGGAGAACTGGAAAGGCCCCAGGGAGAAAAAGGGAGCACTTTGACAGAAGTGGGTGTTCTCCAGTGTGTTCTCTCATAACCCTTCAGCTCTAGACAGGATGCGGATGAAGAAGAAATATTGATTCGTTCTTCTGATTCCAAATTTAAAATGTCTAGCTAGAAAAAATATGTATATTTAAGATATATTTATTTAAAGTATATTTTTGTGTATTTTTAAAGATATCTTTATATATCTTTTTTGTTATTGCTGTTCTTGACCAATTTTCGTGCTTTATTGTCAGTGAGTGTGGCCTGTAAAGATTTCCGCCATTGGGATTTGCTAACTTTTCTTGGTGTGGTCTAGTGCATGGTTACTTTTTGTTCCTATAGTATTCTGAGGCAGGAATAAACATTGCTCCCAGGATTTTGCCACCTTAGTGATTTAAGGCATTATTTTTCCACGTTTCCTTCCAGTCCTTTTCTATGTTCCCGTAATTCTTTTGTTGTTGAAGTAGATGGACTTTCTTCTTGTTCTGTTCAGCATATGGCCCCAGCACTTCCATGTTGCTGTCATTAGCGACTTCAGGATTGTCCATCCTTTGGTTATCTTCATCCTTGTCTTTCTTCCTGAGTTTGCTGTTCCGTGAGTGCCTCCATGCCTGCACTTCTTCAGCTCATCTATTCATCCAGCCAGCTGTGTGCCCAGCCTTTTACTCTGCAGGGGTACACAGGCACTGCAGTCCTGGGCCCCACAGTTTGATTTAGAGGCACAGACAGAAAAGCAGAATGACAGCTGGAGCATGCACCAGGATGGAAGGGGATGTGAAACAGGTGGGGTGACGCTTTACATTGAGCATGGCCCCTGGAGCCAGCCCTGGTTGGATTCAAACCCAGATCGCCATGTAGCACCTCTGACTTGGGCAGGTGACTGCATGTCTCTGCCTCAGTGTGTTTATCTGTGGAGCAGTGCTTATTTTCCTTATAGGTATTGTAAGGATTACAGGCGGTAATCCACATAGTGCCCTCCCTCACGCAGTGTCTGGCTCCTCATGGGGTCTTCACTGTTGGGTGTTGTTATTGCTGTGGTCGTCATCATCATTCTAGAGAAAGTGTCCATAGTATAAATAATCAGGACTGACTGAGACTGTGACACAAATTTTAAGTTAAAGACAGACATGGCAGCTGATGTTACTTGCTTCCATGACCCACTTTGTGTCACTCAGTCTCTGTCCGTCACTGTTGAGTGTTTTCAGTTGCCCTCCAGCCCGCCTTCCTTTGGCTGCCCTGCCTTTGAGTAATGTGTTTGCTTAATGTTTCCAAATATGAGACCTTTGGCCAGGTGCAGTAGCTCACACCTGTAATCCCAGTGCTTTGGGAGGCCGAGGCAAGAGGATCCCTTAAGGCCAAGAGTTTGAGACTAGCCTGGCCAACATAGTGAGTCCCCATGTCTACAGAAAAAATTAGCTGAGTGTGGTGGCCATGCCTGTGGTCCTAGCTACTCAGGAGGCTGAGGTGGGAGGATCACTTATGCCCAGGAGTTCAAGGCTGCAGTGAGCTATGACCATGCTACCGCACTCTAGCCTGGGCAACAGACGGAGTCTCTCTCTGTGTCTCTCTGTCTCGATACAAAGTCTCACTGCGTCACCAAGGTTGGAGTGCAGTGGCATGATCTTGGCTCGCTGCAAGTGATTCTCATGCCCCAGGAAGGGTAGCTGGGACTACAGGCGTACACTACGATGCCTGGCTAATGTTTTGTATTTGTCGTAGAGACGGGGTTTCACCATGTTAGCCAGGCTGGTCTCAGAAACTCCTGTCCTCAAGTAATCCTCCTGCCTTGACCTCCTAAAGTGCTGTTATTACAGGCATGAGTTACCATGCCCCGCCAACCTTGTTTCTAAAAAAAAAAAAGGAAGTCCAACATTCATTTCAAGTACTTGTCATTATGTGGTCTTGCTGAGGCTGAGTATGATGCCTGTCAACATTCTAATGGGAGTCAGGGACCTGAGACCATGGAGCTAAGAGCCCAATGGCCTGGCTCTCAGAAGTCTGATTTGCAGCCTAGACAGTAATTGGGTAGCTTTCTATGGCTCAGTTCTTCACCTCAAAAATAAAGATGGTGAGAATGGCTGCCTAAGAGTTGTGAGTTTTAAACAAGATTAGGAATCCCACGTGCCTAGCGCAGGGCACCTGTAAGCCGTTGCAAGTGCTCCATAAATGTTAGTGATTAAAGGGACTATTGAATTATTTTCAGTTCTTCTGCATTTTATGGGGGAGCGGTATAATCCTGTGGTAGTTTCTTGTTTGGCCATGGGGAATTTCTGTAGCTGCGTCTCTGGGGAGTGGCAGCAGTCTCCTGCCTGTGGCATCACAGGAGTCTGTCTTGACTACCCTGGCCTGCCCTTTGAACTGTCTCCAACATAATTTCTCCTAGGACTGGGAGATCAGGAACCTCACATACCAGCCTGTCACATTATAAAAGAAAAATAGTTAGAAGCAGGGAGGGGAAAGGGGGCACATTTATAAAAGACTGAATTTGTAAAGAACGTTTGGAAGTCACTGCCTCAGAGGTGATTCTGATTAGTATCCTTAGCAGCTTCTTCAGTTCATTGTTTTTATTATTAGGAGAGTCAGAGGAAGTTTCCGGAGCTTTAGTTTCAGTGTTTTACATGAAAATGCCTCGCCCCCTTGCTGCTTTGCTTTCTCTTGCTGTTGGCTCCTTTCAGCTTTCTTGCTTATAGTTTCAAGGCCTGAAGCCAACCTGACATCTGCCCCGGCCCGACCTGCTCTCAAGTCGGACTCGGCAGAACTCCTCACCAGCTTGTTCCGTTCTTTTAGAGACGGAAAGCAAATAGGCAAAGGTTAGCAAGTGGCCAATTTAGGGGAAGGCTATATTGTGTCCATTGTACTTTTCTTTCAACTTTTCTGTAAGTTTGAAATTTTTCACTGTTGAAGAACATTTGTTCTCTTATGCGCCTAACACATTGCAGGTTGTAGGATTTGTTATTAAAAGTGATTTTTAGTTAAAGGCTTTTGTATAAGCGTGTAGCCTTTTTTTTTTACATAAAATCGATGTGATGATTATAACCTACAGAAAATATGTTCAGTTTCTCTAGTTTAAAAAACTGTAAGGTATTACTTTTATTTTTACCACCTCAATAAATATGGAATATGGATAGATAAAATATTTGCATGCATATGGGAAGCAAATCCTATTTATTTCTCCTATCATCAGTTGAGAAAAACTACCACCATTAAATAAGTATTTTCTCCATCTCCATTGCACCAATTATGCCTGCCGGCCTTCTGCTGCCAAAAAGATTAATCAGAAAGTGCCTGTTAACAACTTCTAGTTCTTTAGAACTTACTCTAACTTAGCAAGGCCATTTGATTGGTGAGGCAGCAAGATGCTGACTACATAGGGTAATTAATTGGTCAGTATTCAACCGATGTGAATTCAGGGATTTTTTTTTTTTTTCTAACAGGATAATCTACAAGGGTACAAAACCCAAAACAAATTTCTAAATAAGGAGATTTTGGAACTCTCAGCTCTACGAAGAAATGCAGAAAGGAGAGAGAGAGATCTCATGGCGAAGGTGAGTCGGGATGATGGATTCTGTTACCTGGGGGAAGTAAGGTAAGGAAACCATTAAAAACAAGCGTGCTTTACAAACCAGTTCAAATCTCAGCCTCAGAGAGATGTGGTTGCTGATACCAAAATATATTTGAAATATATACAATACACAGAGCTATGTAGTCTCATTTTATCTCTGATGAAGACAAAGATAAATGCCCTGAGATGTGGCTTTTTGACATAAACTGGGTAAGTAGGAATGAGAATCTACAGAAAATATGTTCAGTTTCTCTAGTTAATAAAAAAAAACATAAGTTACTGCTTTCTTTGTGTGTTACCTTTGTTCATAAGCATTTTTAATGGATTTTGAAGAAAACAAAGTATATATTTATAAGGTCCCCTAAATTTTTTTTTTTTTTTTTTTCCGAGACGGAGTTTCGCTCTTGTTACCCAGGCTGGAGTGCAATGGCGCGATCTCGGCTCACCGCAACCTCCGCCTCCTGGGTTCAGGCAATTCTCCTGCCTCAGCCTCCTGAGTAGATGGGATTACAGGCACGCACCACCATGCCCAGCTAATTTTTTGTAGTTTTAGTAGAGACGGGGTTTCACCATGTTGACCAGGATGGTCTCGATCTCTTGACCTCGTGATCCACCCGCCTCGGCCTCCCAAAGTGCTGGGATTACAGGCTTGAGCCACCGCGCCCGGCAGAGGTCCCCTAAATTAAGGTACTTTGGGTTTTGATTTATGCTGTTCAGTTTTGTATTTATGGAGATGGTGAGGTTAGTGCCTCCTCTGTGAACCCAATAGGGTTCGTGTGAAAGTCACGTATGATTATGGCTGGAAAGGGCTTTGCACAAAGTGTAATGGGATCATGAACATTTCAGCTGTAATCAAATGACACTCGTCAACACCTGTTATATACCTGACACACTTTTTTGAACAGAGCTTGAAGCATCTTCCCAGACCTTATTGCTGGATGTTTTCCAGGGTATATTTGATTTGTCTGATAAGGTAGCAGATGGGAGCTAGTCCTGTATCACAGAGTACTAAGACAGAATGGGTATAGCATGGAGTGGCCACCCACGGGCCATCTGCCAAATGGCACCGAGCTGGACCTCAGTAATCGGCATGTAGCCTGTAGCCTGGTTTCTGCTGCTCTCTCCACCTCTGTCCAGAGGTGATGCATTTGTTGGCATCATGAGGTCTGATAACCAGCACCCCTTCCACAAGGAAGAGAGGTACCCACTGCAGGCCATTTTAAACATGACAGGTGGTCTGTGATATAAATTAATGTATTGTCTTTGATACAGTCTGTCTCTGGCTCACTCCCTAGTAGTTTTAGGTTTGTCGTTGAGTGGTTGAGTGCCTAAAGATTGCTCTTCCTGTTTCTCTGTCTTGATTGAGATAACCACCACATTCTCTGCAGTATTCTAGCCTGGAAGCCAAGCTCTGCCAGATAGAAAGTAAATACCTGATATTGCTCCAAGAAATGAAGACACCAGTATGCTCAGAAGACCAGGGGCCCACCCGGGAGGTCATAGCCCAGTTGCTGGAGGACGCACTGCAGGTTGAGAGCCAAGAACAGCCAGAGCAAGCATTTGTGAAACCTCATCTTGTCAGGTAAAGGTGCTAGTGACTGTTGGGGATAGTGCATCCCATTTCTGAAGTCCCTTTCTCACAGAGAGCAGTACACAACTGTGTGTCTCATTTGGTGCTCACAACAAATGCTGTCAGGTCAGCAGAACAGATAATGTCTTCATTCTCTCATAGAAATCAAGTCATAGAGCTGGGACTCACCACAAGTCTTCTAATTGCAAGATCTATTTCTCATGTAAGTGAGAGAACCTTCCTTCTGATCCTTCCTTTCTCTAGAAGGAGCCAATCTCCAAGGAATAGGAACCTTCTCCTAAAACATAGCCCTACCCACAGGTGGCTCAATAGGGGGCCCCTAAATGAAGAACTGAGCTTATACACACACACACGCACGCACGCACGCAGGCACGCACGCGCACACACAGCACCGGCCTGCATTGTTTGGGCTACTCAGATGACAGTTAGAAACAGGCTCAGGAAGTGCCCGACACCATCGTTTCTGAACTCTGTTGTGGAGGTCTGCCATGTGCCAGGAACTGTGCCAAGTGTTTTATGTGCAGGGTTTTACTTAATACTCAGTGAGGTGGGTGCTTTTACGCTCACTTTACAAGTGAGGAAGCTGGGTTTGGAGGTGATAGAACTTGCCCAGAGTCACTCAGCGTGTGAGTGGCGAGGACAGGCCCTCAGCCTGGATAGTTGGGTTCCCAGGTGCAGAAGCGCCACCTGTATGCTGGGCGTTGGGCTTTGCTCCTCGTGGTGGCTGTTAACCCCTGCAAGCCCTTGGAGCACTTCGGAAGGTGTTGTGTGGTGTTCTTGTGTAAAAGCGTTCTGTGCTCTTACTATTTATGTCGTATGTTCAGATTTTATGTATAAGTAGAATAACCATGTATATTGGTTTATTTTCAAGTTTTTCCTATGAAAAATTTAAAACATACAAAGAAGTAGACAGAATCACGTAACATATCCCCCTGTGTGCAACTAACTTGAGCAATTATTAATGTTTTGCCAATATTGTTTCATCTTACCTCCTGACTCTCCACAGTTTTTTTCTGGAATATTTTAAAGCAAATGTCAGATGTCACGTCATTCTACCTGTAATCACTTCAGTGTGTATTCCTGACTGATGATACCTTTTCACATACCAATCCCAGATACATGTCATTTTGAAACTTAACTTCCTTCAACATTATTTTCTGAAATGATCCCTGTTGATACAAGTTGCCCCTGAGCTATCTTTTTTAAGAGATGGGGTCTCACTCTGTTGCCCTGGCTGGCCTCAACCTCCTGGGCTCAAGCAGTTCTCCTACATCAGCCTCCCAAGTAGCCGGGCCTACAGATGCCGTGACCAAGCACGCTTACCTGTTTCATAGAACATCATTGTGTGAATCTGCTGCAGAGTCTTTATTCTTTCCCCTCATGGAGGACCTTTGGGGTCTTTCCATTTTTCCCTTTTACAGTGATGCAAGGACCAGTCATGGCCCCTATTGCCCTGTGCCCACATGAGAGAGTTCCTCTAGGGTGCAGGCTAGAAGTGGAATTCCTGGTATATAGAAAATACATACCTTTATCTCTGCTACATCTGAGTTCCAAAGTAATTGACACTCAGCAGCAGTGTGTGAAAGGCCTTTGTAGTTTTCTTTTAATGGTACAACAAATTATCATTAACATAATGGCTTAAAACAACACAAATTTATTGCCTCATAGTTCTGTAGGTCGGTAGCCCAACATGGGTCTCACTGGATTAAAATACAGGTTTAATTAGAGGCTGCTTTTCTTTCTGGAGGTTCTGGGACAGTTAATTTCCTTGTTCATTTCAGTTGTTGGCAGAATATGGTTTCTTGCAGTTGGTCATGGGACTTGGTCCCTGTTTCCTTGCTGGCTGTCAGATGTGGTTGGTGGCTTCTAGAACCCCCTGCATTCTCTGGCCTGTGGCCCCTTTTCCCATCTTCGGGGCAGTAGATCAGGTCCAGCCCCTCTCATGCGTCCCATCTCTCCTGCCTGAGGTTTCTGACTGACTTCGTATTCAGGCATACCAGATATCCCAGATAATCTTCTTGTTTTAAATTCTGTAGTCTTAACTGCATTAACACTCCATTAATAACATTCCTATTACCATGTAACGTAACAGAGTCATAGGTTCCAGGACCTGGGACGTGAACATCTTTATCCCTAATAGCTTATAAATACATTCTTCCTTGCTTTTTTTACCCTTTGAAATGATATTTTAAAGCATAAAGTTACACATATGTAGCATATATATGATAAAGAAACACACACACACATTAATGTAGCCAAATTTATCAATCTTGTTTTTGTGCTGTTGACTGCATTTTCTTCCATGCTTTTCATATTTTCAGTTTTAAACTGAAATATGAAAATAGTAACAAGAAGAGATCTAATTTAATTTTTCGTTATAGATAGCCAGTTGTCCTAGCTTTATATACTCAGAAGTCGATTATTTCCTTACTGCTTTGAAATGCTTTCTCATAGTGCAGTGTACCATGTGTGCGTGGATTGGCTTCTAGGCTATTTCTATTGCGTTGGTCTTTGTTGCTAAACCTTTGTCATTTTAATTTTTCCTTTTGTGTTTACCAACAGTGAATATGATATTTATGGGTTCAGGACTGTACCTGAGGATGATGAGGAAGAGAAGTTGGTTGCCAAGGTCCGTGCGTTGGACCTGAAGACTCTCTACCTGACAGAAAACCAGGAAGTCTCCACTGGGGTCAAGTGGGAAAACTATTTTGCGAGTACAGTGAACAGGGAGATGATGTGCTCCCCAGAATTAAAGAACCTGATCCGTGCGGGCATTCCCCACGAGCACCGTTCCAAGGTATGGAAGTGGTGTGTGGACCGTCACACCAGGAAGTTCAAGGCCAACACTGGGCCTGGCCACTTCCAGACGTTGCTGCAGAAGGCGCTGGAGAAACAGAACCCGGCCTCCAAGCAGATTGAGCTGGATTTGCTGCGAACTCTGCCCAATAACAAACATTACTCCTGCCCCACCTCAGAAGGCATACAGAAGTTACGCAACGTCCTCCTTGCCTTCTCCTGGCGGAATCCAGATATTGGGTACTGCCAAGGCCTAAACAGGTGGGTGTGCGGCATAAAGTGTTCCCATTTGCCATTAGGCAACTTCTAGGCACCCGTGCTGCCTGGAAGCTCCCTCCCTTCCTGGTTGGCCAAGAAAACTCAATATTTTGAGAGAAAAAAGCAGTTGCAGCAAGTCCGTTTTCACGACAAAATATCCCCACTTCTAGAAGAACTGACAGAAACAAACATGCTTTCAGAAAGTATGAACACAGAGATAAATTCATTTGAAACTATAGAAGTCTCATATTTTCTGTTCGCTCTCATCACACTCGGGTTTTGATCAGAAGTTTGATTTTACTAGTTTAACTACATGGAGTGGAAATTGGTGGTTACCCCTTGTTTATGCAGTCTGCAGGATCTTTTTGTGAATCAAGAAGTCACCCCAAACAGTTATTCAGCCAATTAAAACTTAGCCCTTGATGAACTTAAACTGGTTTCCTTTTAAACTAGAATCTTTAATCTTGCATACTTTCCTACTTTCATAGGCAGAGGATGCCGAAAGGCCTCTCACACTTTCTTGGTGATCCAGGCTCATCCTCCTGAGCTGTGCAGGGATGGGATGAGGCCTTGGGAGGACTGCGGTCTGCTCCCCACGAAGCTCCTCCCGTCACTGGACTTGGCTCTGTCTGCTTCTTACCTGGCTGGCACGCTTTCTGCTTACTGCTGTCCTTGCAGTTGTCCATTTATATCGCTCTCTGAGTAATGAAAGTAGGTAACCAAGCTTGTTAGAAATATGGATAAAGGTTGAGTTTGGTGGCTCACACCTGTAATCCCAGCACTTTGAGAGGCCAAGGTGGGGGTATCACTTGAGTCCAGGAGTTTGAAACCAGCCCGGGCAACATAGTAAAACCCTGTCTCTATAAAAAAAAATACAAAAAATTGGCTGGGTGTGGTGGTCACGCCTGTGATCCCAACACTTTGGGAGGCTGAGGCAGGTGGATCACCTAAGTCAGGAGTTCAAGACCACCCTGGCCAACATGGCGAGACCTCTGTCTCTACTAAAAATACAAAAATTGGCCAGATGTGGTGGCACATGCCTGTAATCCCAGTTATTCGGGAGCTGAGATAGGAGAATCGCTTGAACCTGGTGGGCAGATGTTGCACTGAGCCAATATCGCAGTCACTACTCTTCAGCCTGAATGACAGAGTGAGTGAGACTCCATCTCAAAAAAACAAAAACAAAAAATTAGCTGGGTGTGGTGGCATGCGCCTCTAATCCCAGCTATTTGGGAGGCTGAGGTGGGAGGATTGCTTGACCCCAGGAGATGAGGCAGCAGTGAGCCACACCACTACACTCCAGCCTGGACGACAGAGTGAGACCCTGTCTCAAAAAAAAAAAAAAAGATACGGATAAAGTAAGAATGAAAAAGCTCTGCATTGTATCGTAGGAATTCTGTAAGCCGTGCATGAGCTGGAGTTCTCAGTGCTGACTTTTGTCCTGGCTGCCCGCAGGCCCTTTTGCTCCTGCACCATGCCAGGCATTGACTTCCATTTCTATTTATGTCTGAAATGGAGTATTACAGGAAGAAAGGGTTTAAGCTGGAATGATATTTGGTTAAAACCTGAAACCAAACAGTTTCCAGGAAGTCATTGTCTCTGTGGTGGTGAGGATAGGGCCCTCTGTGTGCCCTCAGAAAGTGAAAGGGACTATCGCTGCTCCTAGACAGTCTCCATTTTAAAAAGCCTGCCTAGTAAAACAGTTTTATTTTGCATAAATCCACCATTCACATTGGATACTCAATCTGAGAATTCCTGGAAGCTGGAAACCCCCGTAACTAAGGGTCCTGGTGAGGACCTGAGTGTGCCCATTTGGGGTACGGTAATGCCCATTTATCTGGCGTCGTCATGGAATCCATTTTTTCCTACATAAAAGACACTTCCAGATAATTGAAACTTTCTCTCTACACTTCCACTGGCCCTGTCACCATTAAAACCTCTTAATTGTGACCATTTTATAACCATTTTATGGGACTTTTTCTTCAAAATAGTTTGTATGTGTCCATGCCTTCTGAGCACCCAGAACTTTAGTAGGACAGCTGTAGCGTTGTCTAGATGATTGTGATTCGGGCCTGTCACCTGGAGTATTGGTGATTTCAGTGATGTCCTCAAAGGCTCTGCTCTGTCTCCTGGCACCATCGAGTGCTGTGGATTTGGTGTCTGTGCCTGTGTGTGCTGTTTTTCTCTCGTCTGCCTCTGCCAGTGGTCACCTTTTTCCTTTGTGTCCCATCTCTGCCTACTTGAGACATCTCCTTCCCACCTATCCAGGACTTATTTACTCATTTTCCATTTAATTTGAGATGAGTTCATTATAGGATTTCTTTTTTTTTTGAGATGGAGTCTTGCTCTGTTGCCCAGGATGGAATGGAGTGCAGTGGCGCGATCTCAGCTCACTGCAACCTCTGCCTCCCAGGTTCAGGCGATTCTCCTGCCTCAGCCTCCCGAGTAGCTGGGATTACAGGCACACGCCATCATGCCCAGCTAATTTTTGTATTTTTAGTAGAGACAGGGTTTCACCATGTTGGCCAGGCTGGTCTTGAATTCCTGACCTCAGATGATCTGCCCTCCTTGGCCTCCCAAAGTGCTGAGATTACAGGCATGAACCACCACGCCTGGCCCATTATAGTTTTATCTAAGGAAAAAAATGGTAAGAAATGGCTTCAAGGGTTTTCCCATGAGTGTTGCTCATAAGCTTCGTGTCATGGGCAGAGGTTTTGGGTTTCAGCTGAGAAGAGGGAGGCCTTTCTCTCACTTCTTCCTTTCCATGCTGCTGCTCCAGATACCCACTTGGAGCCATACCAGGGCTACTGATGAGTACCCTCTTGTTGAGTGACAGCATGTAAATAGCTGACCCCAGTTTCTGTTATGAACAGCATAGCAACTGAGTTCTTCTCAAATGATGAACTCAATCAGCTGCATTCGCAAAATATTATAATGAAACTTTTTTTTTTTTAAATGAGGCTGGTTGATCATTAGGAAACAATTTCATCTTTGAACAAAAACCAAATGAAAGTGGGGGAAGGTAGCTTTGCTTCTCAAATTTTAGGAAATGCCTCATTTGCAAAGGAACACTTGCTCTTTTTTCTTTCTTTTTTTCTTTTTCTAATGAGGCAGGGCCTTGTTCTATCGCCAGGCTGGAGTGCAGTGGTGTGATCATCCCTCACTGTAGCCTCTGCCTCCCAGGCTCAGGTGATCCTCCGGCCTCAGCCTCCTGGGTAGCTAGGACTTACCAGGTGTACTTCACAGCTCCTGGCTGATTTTTGGTTTTCATTTTCTAGAAATGCGGTCTTGCTATGTTGCCCAGACTGCTTTTGAACTCCCGGCCTCACGTGGTCTTCCTGCCTTGGCCTCCCAGAGTGCTGGGATAATAGGCATGAGCCATTAAGCCAGGCCCTCATTATTCTTTATTGTTGAACTAGAAATGGTTTTGGCCATGAGAGAGAAAGTGGCTTAATGCAGACGGTGTCTGTGGAGACTGTGGTGGCAGCAGTCTGTGCCTGGGTGCTCATCTTGTCCTCGCTTTGCTTGTAGGTTGGTGGCAGTGGCCCTCCTGTACCTGGAACAAGAAGACGCTTTCTGGTGTCTCGTTACCATAGTGGAAGTTTTCATGCCTCGAGACTATTACACAAAGACTCTTTTAGGATCACAGGTAAGTTTTGAAAATTCTGTGCTTCAGTCGCCAATTTTAGAATTGCAGCTGAAATGTGACCTGAATTAAACCTGTGGTTGGGGTGCGGTGGGGGGGGCTTTGTGTCTGTGACTTCAGAGACTGATTCTTAAAGATGGCAGGGCTTGTCTCAGACTTGCCCCAGTCATGGCCTGCTGTTTGTGACTGAAGGCCGGGTTGGGCTCATTCAGCCCCCTGGGAACCAGCAGACAGACCCATCGTGCAGGCCGAACGCTGTGTTCATTGTTCCGCGCCTTCTTCCCCAGATGCAGGCTCACCGGCAGGCTGAGTCATAATCTAGGCGTGGTTGGGGACGGGTGTGTTAGCTCAGGCTCTCAAGAAGCAGATGCTGGGGTGTGATGAGACAAACCAGAGACTTCTGGGGGGAACCGCTGTGGAGGACAAGGGACAGAGAAGCTCCAGCCCCAGGAAGGAAGAAGGATGGGGAAGAGAGTCCCAGACCCTGTGCAGTGGCGACTGAGCAGTCCTGAGGATGTCTGGGCGGGGCCAGTGGGGCCCCGTCAAACCAAGGATGGCGGCCAGGCACCCGCCTCCAAAGATGGGCTGCATTCGTGCCGCCGCCGCACTCATGCCCTGCAGCTGGGGACCGATGCGGTGATGCACCAGAGGGGCAGCGGCAGGGCCTGCAGTCACCTCCCACGGGGGTTCTGAGTGGCGCATTTCATGCCTTCCACACCTGGAGTCTGATGCCAGGGGTGACATGGGCTGGGAGAGCCCAGTGTTTCTGTCTTTGCTTGATACAGTCCTGACCCTGGACCAGACCCTTGGCCCTTTGTGTCTCCCCTGGGCTGGGCTGGGCCTGCTGCTGGCACTGGCTTCCCCATAGGCTGGCCCTTGGCATGTGGCACCTCAGGCACCTTCCGTCGTAACCACAGCTGTGCCCGCATGTGCCCGTTCTGTCGCGTATCTCTTCTCCAGGTCTGTGGCCCCGCCTGGCCTGCCTGCCCACAGCCGCTCCTTGCCCTTCTCCTGCACTACCTGGTGTTGTGAGGCCTGGCCCTCAGGCCAGTAGGAGGCGCTGGCTGGAGACTGGAGGTGGCAGAAGGGGCTGAAGGGGTTTCCCTGCCCATCGCAGGCACTGCCTCTGAAGGTGGCTTTGTCTCCTCTGTGCCCAGCTCCTGTCTGGTGGGTCCTCCGTGCCAGCTGCTGATCCCACTTGCTCCCTTCATCTCTCCCGCCAGGGTGGCTTTCTGCCCTTGCTAAACTCTGAGCTGCCTCACCATCAGCTGTTTGGCTTCTCAGCTTTTCTGTCACTGGTGTGACCAACCCCTGGATGACATTCCCTCAGCAACACCTATTTAGAGAGACTTCCGTTTTCCTGACTGAACCCTGAGCGGGTGTCCTTTGCATTTGCATTTCTGTCTTTGGGGGAAAGGTGGTCATTATTGCCTCTGCCTGTGCTCCTCACCTCTCCAGCTCCCCAGGCTGGAGACTCAAGCCGTCCTGGATTCCTACCTCCCTCTCCTGTATCCCCGTCACCACCATTTCTAGTGCTGCCACCTGCCCCAAGGCAGGTCTGCTGCTGTTCCCGCTGCTCCACTGCAGGCCTCCGGGACAGTGGCCACCGGACCGGATCATCCTGTGTGCCTGTGTGTCCTCCAGCGAGTCAGTGGTACCTGAGGGCCACTGCCCTGTCTTCCTCTTAGTATTCCTGGCACCCCACACAGTGAACATCTGAACTTACATGAGCTACTCTGCGATCAGGGAAAGGGAATTGGCATCTACTGAGCCTGGCCCGGTGCCAGCAGCTGTATGTCTGCACAGAGCTCTGCACGTCTGCACAGAGCCCTGCATGGTGGAGCCCAGTGTCCCCATTTGACTTAGGAGAAAACTGGGAGTTGAAAACATTAATAAGCAACTTGCCTGATGGGCTGAGCTGGGGTTTGAACTCGGGCCTCCGTAGCTCTGGGCCTAAGCTCGCCCCTCCCTGCCCACTGCCTCCTAGAACATCACGGGAGGATGGCTGAGTTGGAGCTCTGGCCTTCCCGGAGGGTGCCTTTCGCCACAGCTGCCCCCTTCAGGTCTCTGCCCCAGTTTCACTGATATCAGTGGATCCCAGGGGAAGCTCATTTGGTCTCCCTGTGATCACTTTATCTGCTAATTACCCCAGAAATGTATTGTTCAGTTGCATTGGTGTGTTGGAAATGAGCAGCAACAGGAAGAGGCAGTAGTCAGTCGGGTGGGATTAGAGGGTCAATAAAGGACGTTTTGTGAATTCATGGGCACTTGAAAGCTAATAGCTTTCAGAGATTCAAATATAAAATATCAAGTGACTCAGTGTTTCAGAATAAGAAAAATGAAGCATTGCTCTTTCTTAATTCCACTGAGGTGTGGTCAAGCATATCGGTCAGGAAATTGGGCGGAGGGTCACATGTGGTCAGGTCACAGCCCAGGCCCTACGCCCTATGAGCTGTGTAGCTTGGTCACATCATTTAACATCTCTGTGCCTTAGTTTCCCATATGTAAGATGAGAGAAGTATTCCCCTCACATAGCTTATTTGAGGTTGAATTCAGATGATGCATTAAAAAAGTTTAATGCTCAGAACATTGTAAAAACTCAGTAAAAGTTGGTAACACAGTATAGGGGAAGACCTATTTTAAATGTCTGGATTTAACATAAAATTTGCATCACTTTGTCATATAAACATAAATGTGAATTCTAAGGAGGCTTTTCCCCCCTGACTGTACAAGTAATAGATGCTCACTAAAGAGAAGTCAGGCAATGTAGAAAGATGTTAAGAAGAAAATGAAAGGCCGGGCGTGGTGGCTCACGCCTGTAATCCAAGCACTTTGGAGGCCAAGGCGGGCGGATCACCTGAGGTCGGGAGTTCAAGACCAGCCTGACCAACATGGTGAAACCTCGTCTTTATTTAAAAAAAAAGAAAATGAAAATTACCTGTTATCCTACCAGCTAGAGAACCATGGTTAGCATTTTGATCTCTTTCCTTTTGCTCTTCTTCCCTGGTTCATATAGGCATTCAAATTGAGAGCACAGTGTATCCTGACTGGTTCACGTTATAGCATGAGCATTTTCCCATGTCATTTTATACTTTGTAGGCCACCATCCTGCTTGGTGGCCTAATATTCCATCAGGTGGTGCTAGAATGTGTTTAATCACCCTCCCGTTTATCAATGGGCATTGTGTAAGGCTGCTGGTAGAATGCGGGTAGCTTTGTGTGTGCTGTCAGCCCCCAGCACTGGGCTTTGCCAATCACTGTCAAACTGCCTCCTGCCAGAACCAAGTGCCCGAGCCCCATGCGCACTGCTCCTGCAGTCTGCATGCTTGTCAGCTTTTCCGTTCATTCCATCCTTTGAGTGCATGTTCTGTGCCAGGACCTTACGAGGCGCTAAGGACACAGAGATAAATGACACAGTCATTCCATGTCCTCCAGAGCTCAGTGGGGGAGGGAGCTTGAACAGAGGCCAGAGCGTGCCCTGGCAGCCGGGTCCACACCAGCCCTCCGCCAAGCACCCAGGCAGCCTCAAGAGTGAGACACAGTCTGCCGCCTAGTTGGAAGAAGAGATGTGTACCAGGATCTTCTGCCACGTCAGGGCCAGCTGATCGCCCCTCCCTCTTGGACGTCTTTCGTGGGATCCTCCAGGCGGAATGAATCACGTCATCATCAGCTGGTCTTACAGTGAGCTCTCCATCTCCCTTGCCACTTTACAGCTCCTTAAAGTCAGCTCCTGGCTGGGCATGAAGTATGGGAAAATACGTACAGTTGACCCTTGAACAACATGGGTTTAAACTGCGTGGTCTACTTACATGTGGATTTTTTCAACCAAACACAGATTGAGAATACAGTATTCACAGGATGTGTGAAACCCTCTTATACGGAGGGCCAAGATGTCAACTGCAGGACCTGAGTGTGCTGTGTGCTGCAGGGGGTGGTCCTGGAACTAATCCCCACATACAGCAAGGGACAACTGTGGTTGTTTTTCACACTATGGATGCTTACTAGGTTGGTACTAGGTTTTTTTTTTTTCCCCATCGCATCCAATTGATTAGAATTAAAAGCATCAAAGTGTAGTCTACTGTGTGAGGTTGAGTATTGTTTTGTGAAACATTGGTTTCTGTTTTATACGTGTGCACGCTGGTTCGTGTGGACTGGGTGATGGCTGAAGATGAATGTTTTTATGAGTCACAGACAAAGGCTGCGAAAGCCGCTGGCTGACAGGATGGTGTGTTGACTCCTCAGTGTGACACGGGGCCTCTGCGGCCTGCTTCCGCCAGGCTGTGCCGCCTCACCTCCTGGCCCTCTTGCCTGGAAGCCTGAGATCTGGCCACAGGAGCGGTTTCTCCTCGGGGCTTGGCCGGGACCTGTCCGTGGCACCACAGAGCGGTATGAACACGTCGTGACCCAGGCCTGGCCGTGGTTGGAATGACCCATGCGTCCAGCTTTCCCCTCTCGTCTTTTAACTCTTTGAGGTCAGGGTTGAACCTTAGCGCTCTGCCCAGCACGGGCCCTGTGCCTGACAGCAGCAGTAACCAGGTATTGCTCTTCTGTCGTGCGATGGGTAAAAGAAAGGTTATTAACTGTTTCCAGATGAAGCACGAGCCGTTTAGAGCATAATATGCTAAAGGCCACCCAGCTAGTAAGTTGTAGAGCTGAGATTCAGACTCAGGTCCATGTGACTCTAGAGTCCTCACCCTCCCACTGCATGTACCGCCCAGCAAATGCTTGTTGAATGGACGTGGTGAAGCTGCTTCCTCTTTGGGTCAAGAGGAAGCATCTTGACTCCCATCTGCCCGGGATTCCAGTTTGTGGCCCTTTGTGTCAACGTCTCCTGTACCTACGTGAGGACTGGCAAGGCCGACTGTCCCACCTGCTCCTTGCAGCGACCTATTTCCCAGGCGTTTTGAGTACAGGAGTTGGTTCCAGGTTCCAGATGCCCCACTCCCATTCCCTGTGGAGAGCGTGCTGTTGAGCAGACACTCAGTTTGTATGTGCAGTGCACGAGGTCAGCGCTGCTGGAACGTGGCGTCTGGCTCTGCGATGGGTCCTGGAGCACGTTTGGAACAGCTGTGCTGCTGTCGCGTGGGCCGCACCCCCAGGCTGTCCAGTTGTGCATCTGCTCATCGGCTTGCCCGGTGTCCTGGCAGGCCCCATATGCTTCTGCCCTTTGTTCCCTCTCCAGGTGGACCAGCGGGTGTTCAGAGACCTCATGAGTGAGAAGCTGCCTCGGTTGCATGCCCACTTTGAACAGTACAAAGTTGACTACACGCTCATCACTTTCAACTGGTTTCTGGTGGTGTTTGTGGATAGTGTCGTTAGTGACATCCTCTTTAAAATATGGGACTCTTTCCTTTATGAGGGACCAAAGGTGAGTTCTTTTAGCTCAGCTAGTTTTAGATACACACGCTTGACGACTATTGGCAGCGTTGGTGGCGGTAGAGTGGCGGGCTCACCTTGTGAGGGTTACCACAGTGCCCAGGGGATTTCAGCACAGCATGCACTAGAGCTGGGTCCAGGGTATCAGGAAACTGTAGTCATTGGTTCATTTTTCAGAAACAGTCAACCCGCACCAAGCCCCGTGGTAGGCGCTGGGAGCTGTGGCTTGTGGTTTGAGCCAGAGTCTCACCATCTGTCAGACGGCTGGTGGTGCTGCCCATCGTATGGAGGAGGAGATGGAGGTCTAGAGAGCTAATCAGCAGGGGACCAGGGGCACGAGCTTCAGAGCCTGACTGCCCATGACCCTCCCACCCGCTCTGTTGTATACTGTTTAAGAATTGGTTTTTGACTAAGGAACATATTTACATATTAAACTCTCATCATATAAACAGGGGTATGTAATGAACCGGAGGCCCCCCTTGTCTTCTAGTTACTTTTCTCCATTTATTATATATCTTAGCCGGGCACGGTGGCCTGTGCCAGTTGTCTCAGCTACTTGGAAGCCTGAGGCGGGAGGATCATCCGAGACCAGGAGTTGAAGTCTATCCTGGGCTGGAAAGCAAACAAAATAAGAGAAAGCACAGGCTGGCGCAGGCCCTTAGATATGGGGAAGCAGTTTGTTCCAAAGCTGCGTGAACTCGCGAGACTCCCAGGAGTCCATTTCCTCTAACCTCTAACATGCACCAAACACAAATCAATTAAAAAAAACCAACCTCTCCCATCTTCAGAAGCTCACTAGTTGGGATGGAAACTGCCTCTGTAGGTGGGACTTTCTAAGAGTTTCAGAATCAGAAAAGCTTGGTTTTGGTTTTATTTTAAAATGATTTCTTACATTTGTTCGTTATGCTTTATTGATTAGAAATGCTAGCTGAGAATGAAAGGATTCCACAGACATCTCCATAAGGAGATTTTTGGTTTGGGCTGATGTGTTGTTGAAAACCACCAGAGTTTGTTTTCCTGTCATAAAGGAGTCTTGGCCTAGCCAGCGAAAATTGCCCCTTGGACCAAGTGTCTGTCCCCAGGGCGGGGACTGTGCAAGTCATGTCCCCAAGTCCCCAGGGGGGCCAGCACTGCTCTGGAGTCCAGCCTTGTGCTTGGACCCATAGGTTTTTCCACTAATAGATGTCCCTGTTCATCCCACAGGTTATTTTCCGTTTTGCCCTGGCACTTTTTAAGTACAAGGAAGAGGAGATCTTGAAACTGCAGGATTCGATGTCCATATTCAAATATCTCCGCTCCTTCACTCGCACCGTCCTCGATGCTAGGTGAGTCCTGGGGAGGTCTCAGATGTCAAGGAGAGCAGGAAGCCTGGCCCCTGCCTCCTTGAGAGCAGTCCGTCCTTGCTGTCTTCAAACTCAGAGCCATCCCAGGTGTATAGTGTGGGAGAGGGCATTGCTTTCCAGGGAAAAGAAAGAGCAAGTGGTGTGAGCCCCAAGTAGCCTTACGAGGGAGGAATTTAGATGAGGCTTCTGTCCTTTATCCTACAAACATAAATCCCCACAACCAACAGCAATCGTTTCATTTGTCTGGAAAACATTTACTGAGTGCCTACTGCGTGGCAGGACCTGTGCCGGGCACTGATGACGGGTGGAGAAAAAGACCTGTCCTGGAATCCCTTGCTGGGGACTCTGTTGTACGTCATTTGATCAGTGCTGTGGTAGAGGGTGCCCAGGCCGGAGAAAGGCTGAGTAAATTGGGCAAGGGCAGTGAGGAGACAGTCTGGGGACAGGTGTCCTTCAGGAGCAGCGCGGAGCTGTGGGGCACGTGTATTTGGGGAAGCGTGGTGGCGGCTGAGCCCGGCTGGCGCCGATGTGGCTGGGCCGTAGCAGAGCTGGGCTGTCAGGGCGCTTACAGATTTCACTTAGAACTTGAGGCTGCATCCTCAGAGTTCTGGGAAGTCACTGCAGGGTTAGGCAGGAGACGCACAGGTCAGATTGGGGCAGGACTGGTGGCTGTTAGAGGGCTCTAGGGACGGAGGTGGTCCCACAGATGGAGAAGAGGGGCAGATTGAAGAGAGGGAGGGAGGAACTTGACTTGGAAGACCCCTGGGTTTCTGGCCTGGGCAGCCAAGTGTTCAGGAACCCTCCCTGGCCACACGGTCATTGCCTGTTCTGGGCCACCCTCATCCATATGTCCCCTGGACCACAGCTGTTGGCTGCTCTGGCCCTGGCAGCTGAGTTGGACACTGGGAGCTGAGGGGGCTGGCTGAGGCCATGCCAGGCTTCCTGGAGGTTGTCACAATTTTTAGGATCTTTTATTGGGGAGTGGGTTTGTAATAGTTTCAGGCTTACTAATAGCACCAACAACAGTGCCCTGATTTCTGGCAAATGAGAAAGGTTATCGGAATCATATTTGCTAGGGAAAGTTTGATTCTGAGTTTTGGGGTGAGCCTGGAGAGTTTCTGTTCATCTCACTTTGGGTCAAGATTGCTGAGAGTGACAGAGTGAGCTTGCCCATGCCAACAGCTAGGGCTGTGTTCAGAGCACCGCTGCCCACAGTTCTGTGCTGGGTCACAGGCTCTGCCAGGAGGTGTGGAGGCGGGTGGGTGGGGGCTCTGGCGAGCGCCCCAACTGTTCCTGGCACAGCAGGCTGACCGGGCCCCTCCCACACTGCTGGGCCTTGTGTGGTCCTGCAGCGCCGCCTTGTGACCAGCTCGTGGTACCATGTCCCGTGCAGCTTGCTTTAGAAGGCAGGGTTGCTAGACTAACAGGTGCTTTAAGGAGTGCCAGGCCATGGCGGCAGGCTCCCCGATGTTATCGAGACTGCAGGAGCCCTGGACCCGTCTCTGGGCTGGAGCCTCAGTGTTTTAATCAGCTCCCCAGGCTAGTATTTGCAAGGAGGCCAGTCCTGCCGCACAGAGGGAGGGAGTTGTGTAGTGAACTGCATTCAAGAGACGGGGGCTAACAGGATTGAACTGGGCTCTGCAGCAGGACTTCTGGGAGCCTTTTAAGGTGCTGGACATCATCTCCTAAATTTAGCTGACCATGGGGCACCTTCTCATCCTCCAGCAGAATCTTCCAGGCCTGAGGCAGAGGCGGGGTCTGGTTTCCCGGGTGCCAGCCTGGGGCGAGGGGCCTCTGTCAACTGAGGAGCAAATGAGGAATTATACTTGGGGCTCGCGTTCTGCAGCACAGGAGGGCTGAATGCCGTAGGTTTGGGGTTTGTGAGGGCTGTGGGCTGACAGCTGTGGGGGAGAACGGGCTGGTGGCGGGGGCCCTGCACCCCGTTCACATGGAGCCGCCTTCTGTCTGGTGGGGCTGGCAGCCTGGTCCTCGGAGCCAGGCAGGAGGTGGAACCTGGGAACTCCCCATGCAGGGACCCCTGTGCTCAGGCCTCCCCTGTTCTCTGGTGCTCCCGTGTTCTAGAACACATGCTGGGGAATTCGGAATTTAAATAAAGCTGGCCTTTCTGACCTTTGACCTCCCTGCAGGAGAAGCCTCTGGCTGAGAGTTAAGCATGTGTTTTAAAACATAAAAGGCTACGAGCTTATGTAAAGGAGCCCAGGCAGCCAACAGCAGCGGGAGCAAATGGCCTGCTGTGAAGGGGACAGGGAGGAAGTCCTTTGGGACATTTCTGTTTCATCACAGCTTTTCCTGGGGCTGGTGAGTCTGTTGGGCCTGTGGTTGACAGGAAAGCGAGTCAACCCCTGTTGCTGGATGCAAAGCGTCTGGGGCCTGGCAGAATCCAGAGAGGGGAAGAAGGCAGCCCCAGTGTTGGAGGATCCAGCTTTTCTTGTGACCCACGGAGACCAGCGTGGCGTGGCTGACCCATTAGTGCTACAAATCGACAGCCCGGCCTCAGGACAGCTTTTGGTTTTGTTTTACTAAGCCACTGACCAGTGCGTAGGAGCCAGTGATCACAACCTTAAAGTTTTGATTGTGGATCGGTACCTTGACCTGGGGAGAATGTGAAACCCACGTGCTGCACATTTCTCTGTGGACTGCATCTGGACACTTGTCACATTGCTGACTGGGTCTGACAGTCGTCGCCAGGACTGCTGGGCCTGTGTTCATGCCCAGTCACTCAGTCCTGGGACAAAGACGCCTGGACTCATGCCCGGTGCCAGGCCTTGTGTCTGCCCGAGGATGCAGACACACCTGCATCTGCTGTCACCATGCAAGGCCGGGTGCTCTTCTCAGCGCTTATATGTGGGCACTCTAGTAATCCCACCCCTGGGAGTGGCACTACTGTTATCCCCAGTGTGCAGATAAGGAATCTGAGGCCAGAAAAGGGGGCGACTTTAGTCACACAGCAAGCACGTGGCAGAGCTGGAGTCCAGGCTGTCGTTCTGAGCGGGCCCTGGCAGGGTCACTGTGCCTTGTTGCCTCTCTGCAGAAGGTGGGCCTAGTCCCCTACGTCAAGCCCCCAGCATGGCCAGCGCTCTTTCCACCCCACCCCAGGCCGCCTGGCTCTGCCCGTGAGGGCTGTGTGTGAGCGCTCACTCTGGCACCACTGATTCTCTTGTTTCTGTCCTGCGCCCTGCCAGGAAGCTGATCGGTATCTCCTTTGGGGACCTGAACCCCTTCCCCCTACGCCAGATCCGGAACCGACGTGCCTACCACTTGGAGAAGGTCCGGCTGGAGCTGACCGAGCTGGAGGCCATCCGCGAGGACTTCCTGCGTGAGCGGGACACCAGCCCTGACAAGGGTGAGCTGGTCAGCGATGAGGAGGAAGATACCTGACCTTCTCCATCTGAGTGGGTCCCTGGACACTGTTCTTCCTGCCTTCAAACCAAAGTATGCCCAAAGGGCGAAAACGCGCTTAAAAGCCAGAATGTAATGTGTGTGGCCTCTGGGAATCTGCTGGGCAGATGTCCAAAGCCAGACTGCACTTCCTCACCTCCCACTGCATGGGGGCAGGGCTGGGAGGTCCGATCTGTTTACAGCCATCTCCACGCCACGGCTTCTGGTTACACGTATCCCAGTCATGTTTCTGCCTGATTACTGGCGGGACGTCGGGCTTACCAGTGCTGTGTGCAAGAGCCTCTGTCAGCCTGGCGGTGCCCTGACCCTCTGAAACCTTGCTTTGCTGGGCATCTCCCCTTGTTCTCCCTCCTGCACACAGTGGGCAGTTGTGTGTGGTTTTGAATGGCAGTGCTGTGAAGGATGCCCACTGTGCTTCAGGCACCTGTAGGCCAGAGGGTGGCTGCCTCAGGCATAAGGTTTGGTATGAAAATGAACCGCTGTGGAAAAGCAGGCACATCCCTTGTTCAGAAACTGCCACTGTAGAAAGCCTGTGAACCTTCTGCCGGTGGCTTTAAGCCGCCAGCCATGCCCCATTTCTAGAATAGCCTTTGCCCTGGCTATCCAGACACCCACCTCACTTCTCACGGCCAGCCTGGGTTTGTACATTGCTGGGCTGCTCTGTCCCCAGCTTGCTGTGTCTGGCATGGCTCTGTGAGGTTCTGTGGAATGCCCTCTTGACTCACATTCACCAGGTATGGTGAGGTGCAATTCCAGGTAAATGGTGGACCATCACATTGCAAAGCAGGCCCACCCCTGGGCTCCCTGGGCTGGCCTTGGTTGAGGGGAAGGATGAATCTTTTTGAGGGTGCTTTGCAGGGCAGTGGTGCAGCTGCAGTATGAACGCTCTTGGACAGCTGAAAAGCTTGGCCTCCTTGGGGATGGCCAGTGCTCCCGTGTCTGCTCCTCCTGACTGCGTTCTGCAGGAGGCCAGCTGCCAGCGCTGGGGCTGGGAAACTCCTGCGCTTGGGGCCCAGGCTTGGGGAGCTCTCCCAGATGTGAGCCCTCCCCACCATTGCCTAGAAGCATCTTGTTCTCTGCAAGGACGCAGGGTCACTGTTGCCTCTGGCAGTTTCTGGGAACTCGGAGGACTGCCTTTCTGAAGGCTGGAGAAGGTTTTGAGCAAGGAGCTTACTTCTGTTCAGTCCCTCTAGACCATCCCTGATATGCAGATGTGACAGGGTATTTTCCGGCAGTCTTATTAAAATACGAGAGAAGCGATCTCCGTGGAATGTTTCACATTACCTGAAAAAAACTGAAATCACCCTTGGTTGGCAGAATGCAGTGGGACTAGGAATCGAAGCAGGGCAGTTTTAGGGAGCACCTTTTTCCTGTTACTTTCTGCTGTTGACTCTAGCACTGCCGCACGAAGGTGGCGTTTCCGCATGCTAGACAGAACCTCGGCTCCATGTCTTTAGTGGAATTGTTCTCTGTGTAGAGGGACTGACTTCCATGTTTAGCCAAAAGCCTTTGCCTGTTTCAGGCATCAGAAATGGGTTTTGTCATTGTCTTTGTCTTTGAGAACAGCGGATTCCTGAAGGAGTATGTCCTGTGAGCTGGGCGTTGCATCTGCTCCAATTGAGTGTTGGAACCCCACCCCCTGGCCCATTGTGCAGAGGTAACTGTCAGCCTGGGGGGCGGCTGCTCAGGAGGAGCAGCAGGAATTGTCAGCCTGGGGGCGGCTGCTCAGGAGGAGCAGCAGGAATTGTCAGCCTGGGGGCGGCTGCTCAGGAGGAGCAGCAGGAATGGGGCAGAGCCTGTAAGCCGGCTCCAGCTGCCCTCAGGTTTTACTTTCCAAGCCGATGGCCCCTGGAACATGCCAGCGCATACTGCTGTGTCCTGGGGCTAAGATGCTGCCTTAGGGACAGGCTTGTGTTGTCTGCTTTGCTCTGAGAGACATGCCTGACCGGAGGCCTGTTGTAGCTGTAGCCCAAGGTGCAATGTTAGTGTTTCCAGGCTGTTGACAGCACTGCCAGGCAGTGCGTGTGCGAGAGCAGGAGATGTCCTGGAGGAAAGGGACTGGGGACGCTTTCCTGGAGGTTCTCCTCCCTGGAATGAAGTTCTGTGCGTCCAGAAGGTGAGAGAGGGCGGCTCCGTCTGATGCCAGTTTGGGAACAGGATGAACTAACTCCTCCTTCCAGAACTGTGGGCCCCACTCTTTCGAGCTAATATTTCCCCTCCCTCATGTCATTGAGAAAAGAGATGCTGTGTCCCCTCCAGGGCCAGAGGTCCCTGGCCTCCACTGGCTGCCACAGCAGGGGGCCATTCTGGCAGGGGCTTCCGCATGCTGCTGTTCCTCCTCCAAACCTTTGCCCCAGCACCCAGCCCATGGTCCCTGCAAGGGGGACCTTGCTGGCTGTGAAGCCCGAAGGGCGGTCTCCACTACCTGTCCAAATGCACATGCCAGGACTGGGGCCTCCCTCCCCACCTGCTGGGAATTGCCAATTTTTAAATGGATGGGGTTTTTTTATGGGTTGAACCTCTCTGTTAATACTTCTGTATATTTTCACTACAGTTTATATTTTTTTAGGCTATTTTCTCAAAGTGTCTCCAGATTCCACATATCTATTTTATATAACAAGTTCTTATGTTGTGTGTATGACTCCCTGGTATGTATCTGCGCCAGTCTGAGCCTCTGAGTTGCTCTTCCCTCCGGCCGTGACTCTCACTGACTCACCGATGTGATGTGCGGGCCACTTCTTACCCAGGTAGCCTCCGGCGCTGCCTGTCACCGTGCTGACCGCTGTATGGTAGCAGCCAAGACTGCTGCTGGCTGGAGGCGGTTCTGGCTTCAACTGCAGTGTGTTGATGTGGCGAGCGTGCTAGACAGATAGATCGTCGGTTGAGTTTTCTGGCCACGTGCTTGTGTTGCACAGATCCCCCCCGCCATCCTGTAGTGTCATCTTCCTGTGTGTTCCCGGGCTTCTGGGCAGCTGGGCCTGCCTGGGGAAATGCTTGCAGGTGGGAGGCCGTACAGAGACCCAGTGTGCGCCCCTGAGCGTCCACCGCTGCTGGGCAACTGCAGGACGCCAGGGGGCGCCCAGTGACTCTGTCCTTTTATATCACAGCAGTGCCTGTGCTGATCTTCACGTTACACTTTGGAATTGTAATACTAAAGGAAGAAAGAAACTACTAATTTTGTATAATATTCTGCCTTGAGATTCACTTATAGTCACTTGTAATGGGGCTCTCCCCAAGGGCTTGGAGGGTGGGGCAGGGCTTACTGGTGTTGGGGGGCAAGGAGGAGCTCTCTGACCTTCCAGCTTCTGGGTGTTGGGGGGCAAGGAGGAGCTCTCTGACCTTCCAGCTTCTGGGTGTCCCTGCCCTGGGGTGGGTGTATCAGGATGGCTTTGCCAGCAGGGGAAGCCCTGGGAGGCCCCAAAAACCATGGCCAAGCTGCAGGTGTGGGCTGGGGGCACCGAAGTGGGAAAGCCGGGAGCTGGGCACTCCCTGTGTCCAAATAATCCCCCCTTCCAGCCACAAAGAACAGGCACCCCTCCTTCTGCCAGCTGCCACTGGGGACACCCCCAGCCATCAGTGGAAGAAAACACCAAGAATGATTAGGACCAAATGTCTTCCCATGGGGAGGGATGGGGGGTGGTTCCAGCAAGGATTCCCAGGCAGAGCAGGCCAAGGCCTGGCAGCGTTTTCTCTTCTGGAGACACAGATTTAGCGAGGCTGGGAGTTCCTGAAGTCACATGGCACAGCAGTGGTGGCAGTGCGTGGGTCAGGAGCAAGTCGACAGCCCTGCTCCCCACCCCTTGGAAGGGGTTGTCACCAGGGGCAATTCTGACTAAGGCCTGGGAAGCCATGGCTCAGAGCACGGGTCCCCAGGGTCTCTTTGGGCCAGCCAGGCTGCTGCAGACACAGACAGGAAGCATGCCTGATGCTCCCCCACCCTGCGGCTGCACAGCGGGGCCAGGACTCACGCTAGCTTGCCGAGTGACATGCTTTCCTGCGTGACCTCTGGGGGGCTGCCCTCTCTGTGTAAAGCCACTGCTGGGGCCCGTTTCCTCTTCCATCTGCTCAGGGTGGCCTGGAGCTCAGAGGTGGGCATTTGGGGCCTAGGATGGCCTGTGTCACCAGGGCATGTGGCCTTGGGCCTGTTACTTCCTCTCAGAGCCTCGGGGTCCTCCTCTGAGGATGGGGCTGTTGGTGTGAAACAAGGTGAGCACGTGGAGTTGGGAGCAGCAGGGCACGCACCTGCAGGCAGCCGCCCTGGCCACGCTCCCTCCATCGCTTCCAAGTCCTGGGACAGACGCTCATCACCAAGGGGTTCAGCCTCTGATACTGTTTCTTGGTCTCAGTCCCTAATTAGTGATTTTCAGTGGTGTCCCCTGTCCCCAGCATACACCTAGCTGAGTGGCGGCAGCTGCCACACGCAGACTCCGGGGCCCCACTCACCTTTTGTCGGGGGATGTATGCGGGAAAGTAGAATGTGCGAGGTGGCCCGGGTAGGCTGCAGGGCAACCTCTCTGAACCTTAGCGCCCCTGACCTGGCGAAGGGGCGTAACACCTTCCAGGGGCAGGGCTGCGGAGGCCAAGGCTCGAAGCCAGAGGGCAGCGTTGGATCCAGAGCTGGGCCTGGCCTGGGGGGACAGTGTGTGCCCCTTCCCCAGCCTCACCACCCCCGTCCAGCCCAGATTCCACGTATTCTACCCCCGGCCAGCCCAGATTCCATATACCTTCAAAGCACCTTCATGCCTATCTGTTTCTGCTGTGGGCGCCACAGTCTGGCTCCATGGGACTAGATTTCATGGGAGGGGAAGGGGCTGTGGGTAGGCAGGTACCAGGTAGCTGGACCATAGATAAATGTGGTAGGAACCTGGTGCTGGGGCTGGTGGTGGGGAAGGGGCCACTCTGAGGGGCATCAGGACCAGTGGTTTGGGGTATGCAGAACCTGGCTCCTTACCCCAACCACCTTAAGGAGGCTCCAGCAGCTCCCCGCCATGCAGAGGCCCCTGTTTCTAGAGGGCCTCCCGAACCAGCGTTGCAGGTCTCCAGCTGCTGCTCTCTCTCTCCCACCTGCCCATGGCTGACCCCCAGGACTCGAGAATGGGCACTGGTGGGCTGAGGTTTCTGGAGGAAAGGTCCACCCTGACCCCGTCACATGCCGGTGAAAGAGCCTGCCCGGGGCGACACCCTGCCACCCCATCTCCATCCTTGCTCAGCCTTGGTGTCCCCTGACAGAACCTGGCACAGAACTGCAGTCCCAGGGGCCTCCTGCCAGCCTGCAGCGGCCTCTGCCTCCTACTCCCGGCACATCCCCCTGTCCCAGTGCACCTGTCCTGCCAGGCCTCTCTGACCCCCTTCAGCCACGGGGGCTGCACTCAGCCTCAGCTTTGGTGTCGCAAGGTCCCATCTCCCAGGCCAGTCTTCCACTTCTCAGGTGGGCCAGGAAGCCTAGAGAGAGTGGACCTTACAGGCCGTCAGCAGAAACCAGGGGCTGAGCCCAGGCTGGCTGGTGAGGGAGGCCAGCTACAGGCTGTGCTTGTCAGGGCTGAGGCTTGGCTGGGCCCTCCTGCCTGCGGTTATCGGAGCTGTTTGAAAGGTGGCTTGTTTCCAGCCTCCTGGCCTTGCTCCTGATGCTGCTGCCGCTGCTGACAACCCCCAGCTGCCGCCCGGGCCCTGCTCATTCCAGCAGACCTCCGGGGGGAGGAGGACCAGGATGGGAGCAGCCAGCCCTGGGCCTGGGCCATCTTCCAGGCCCCGCAGAGGGCACGAGGCAGCAGGCAGGCTCCTCCAGCCCAGCTCCGGGCAGAGCTCCAAAGCGCACATCTGCAGGCTGCATCCTGCTCGCCCGGGGTGACCTCACATGAGCTGCTTCACCTCTCGGGCCTCGGTCCCCTCCTCTGCCAACCCCACCTCCGCAGCAAACGGTTGCGGCCATGCTGGGTCATTGCAGTGACCACACACTGGAGTTTCCAGGCTTTCCAAATACCCGCCACACTGTCCCACACGCCAGCAAAACATCCTGGGAATTCCAGGTCTCAAGGTGCAAGACACCTTCCTACTTCCCCTCCACTGGCAGCTGAAAACTCCTCACTGAGGACAGCGCCCAGGTTAGCCACCTAAGCAGCCCCACGCCACTCCCTGCAGCCCACTCACACCCACCCCAGGAAGACCTCGAAAGCCCAGAGCATGCTGGGCCATCCGTCCTTGGTTCCAGGCCTCCAGGTGCCTCAGTTCCTGTTCTCTGCTCCATCTGGTCCTCACCACCTAGATTGTAACCACCCCGCTCCCTGTGGCCAGCCCTATAGCCCTGACGGCAAGAGAGATGGTGCCAGCACCCAGCTCAGGTGGCTCACAGGAGCGCTCTGAGATGCTCGCTGGGTGGGTGCTGAGGGTAGGCAGGGCAGGGTGATGCCTCCTCTGGGAAGCCATCCCTGCGCCCTGTGCCTGACTGGCCTGCCCTTGCTCCCAGCTCCGCCGCCCTCAGTGCCTCCTTGGAGGGCCTGGTCCCATGCCTAGAGCCCACTCAGTACTCGAACCCCACTCGCACTGTGGGATCAGCTCCTGCAGCAGAGAGGGGTGTGAGAACAATGGGGACAGCCCTCAAGGCTGCCGGGCAGCGAGCCCCTCGCACGGGACATGAGTGAAAGGCCTGGGCAGAGCCCCGGGATGGAGCCCTGATGATGCAGCAGCGGGCAGAGACGTGGGCGAGACACCACTGTGCCCGAGGGATGG